TAAGCGAAGGCCATAGATGTCTGAATTAGATTTTATGCAAACAAGATAAACAATGAAAAAGAAAAGCAGACTATGAAAACTTGTGCAAAACTAAGCGATTGTCGTTTTCTCATATTCACAAATTCAGAGTCAAATGTCAGAATCTCAAATCTCGATGAGTTCACATAGTTGTAAGAATCACCTCGTAGGACACATTAAAGCTGTGAATTATAGCCTAGTAGCATGCAAATGCATAAAACACATTATAGAATAGATAGTTATTGGTAATAGGATGAATTTGACACTGCCATGGGCCATCAACTAGATCGAAGGGCCAGAATAGATACAAAAATACCCAAAAGAGCTAGATAAATGTGCATTCACCATATGGTGGGCATAAAGCACTCCATAGTGGATCTTCTGAGGATTTTGAACTCATCGAGAATCACCTATCAAATCAAAAACATGTTACTTATCAGATTTATAAAAAAAATTGAATCAAATGGACGAGTGTGACACTCATCATCTCAATTAAAACAATTTACGGAATTCAATTTTATTTATTTATTTCAAATGCCACATTAAGAAAAGTTTCTTGAATCCGTTAAATCGTTGAAACACAATTAAAACACTTCTTCTTCAATAGCTTTAGAATAAAGCAATATTCATATTTATTTGATATCGCGTGAGAATCAATTATTTAACACATTTTATACGAAATTAAATTTACTTTTAATATCTCATACGAAATTAAAATTATATTATTGGGATATGTTTTCAGAGTATAGGTCAAATCACATTTCATTTGATATACATCAAAATAATAAGGTAATCTCTCCAGTACACGATCAATCAAATATAATACTCATATGATTTATATTATAAAAATACTAGACTTACTAGTGAGAAATGAACTCATTGCGAAAATAATTAGATTCTCCAAAATTCGACCGCCTTCGATATCCACAAGGTCCTATATTATAATAAGAAATAGGGTTAATACGAAACTAATGTAGACTCATACTAATCACTACATAATTTAGGTCTATATAGAATCAAATATAATCAAATAGTAATCAATATTGATAAATAGGGTTCACATAGGGTTATTACTAAGTTTAGCAATTTATCATAAATTTTATGACATTCCTTTAAAACTTTTGGACCCATAAACAAATTGAGGTAACCATAGGGGACTATAGATAATTATCCAGGCCTATTTTTAACTATATAGTACTCTATTTGGGTATGTCCATAACCCCTGCAAGTTTTAGGGATTTAAAGTAATTTTTTCCCCAGTCAAAACTTGTATTTTTTTGCTCAATTCGGGCTTCTCAGAAACTTTTAGTCAAATGAGGGGTCTATACATGTTTATCCTTCAAATACTATGCTTTTGTCCTTCATGTTTGGACCTATTGACAAATCTTTGGAAACCCAGAGGTCTTAATACAAAAATTTCTCCTTCTTTAGTCTTCTTCCTCTTTCTCCTGCTACCCGACTCCTTTTCTCCTTTTATCTGCTGCAGATCAAGGGCTGTGCCTTGACTCCCTTCTCGTGGTTGTCGGAGATGACCGGGTGATGGCAAGGACTCGCTAGCGGCCAAGGATGGCTGGCGGCGAGGTGCTCGCTAAATTGTTTTTTTCACAGACCTTACTCCTAAACCTGAATCATAATTCAAAATCATAGTACAAATCCATTTGATTTTAAAGATTTCTAACTACACAAAGTTGACTATGCAATTCATAGAGACTAGATTATACCTTAATAGCTAGTATGATTTAGAAGGCTTTATGTTCTCGTCCTCCTTTTCTTCTTATTCTCTTCTTTCCATTTTCTTCTTATTCTCTTCTTTCCATTCTTTTTCTTTCGTCAACCTCATTTACTGTTCAATTATCATTTAGAGAGGGAAACATGAGCAGAGGATAGGAATTGGAGGCATGATGACTATTCTTAAGGGAGAGGCTAGAGGGTAACACACCCTCCTGCTTCCTTTCTCTACCAATGGTAAAAACTCATCTAACCTAACTTTGAATGGGAGGTTGATAGCAAACAAGTGAGGTTTGTGGAATTTGCCAAGACTCCCCCTAACAATATCGTATTTTACAAGTCATACCTTCCTATATATATAATAATACTATTATATATATATATATATATATATATATATATATATATATATATAATAGATGAGTATCATTGTCATAGGAGGGGATTTCCTCCTTGAAATGATGTTGCACAATCTCCCACCATGTGATATTCTCTCTCTTACTTTATTTCACATGGTGGGGATGCGTGCCACATCATTTTCAAAGAAAAAATCCCCTCATTGACATAAGACACCCATTAATCATTATATATTATATATTATAGCAAAACTCTGGTCAACTTAAGTGGATAGTAGAAAAGTTATCTACCAAACTTTTTAGCCACTCATATTGCCTAGGGATCCTTACATGATATGAAAAAGTTTTTTATATTAATAAATGTTCAGTTGTGTTATTAAGTTTGGTGGACATTAACTTAAGTTGATAGGAGTTTTACTCTCTCTCTCTTTATATATATATATATATATATGTATATATATATATATATGTATATATATGTGGGTTAGTTGACTACTTAGGGACTACTACAACTATCATGGTATTAAATTTATGAATCATATTCATATACTTTGTGGAAGGGTTATCGGCAAAAACTAAAAAAGGATGAAAGTGTATCTAAAAACCAATTTGGTTTTATCCCATTGAGATCAATTATAGAACCTATTCACTATTAAGACGATTGATCGAGATATATAGGGAAAAGAGAAGGGATCTACGTTTACATATGATTTTTTCTTTTTGTTGATCTAGAGAAGGCTATGATAATGTCTAGGGATATAATGAGGTGAGTTTTAGGAAAGAAACAATTATGTAGTATTTATATTGATATAATTAATGGTATATATGATAGAGTAACAACTAGAGTGAGAATAAATGGAGAGGTAGAATCATTTCCTATTACCATACACTTACATCATGGATCGTCTCTAAGTCTTTTATCTTTTGCATTAGTTATAGATAATTTTACTAGACATATTCAAGATAAAGTACTGATGTAGTTTATTGATGATATAGCATTAGTTGATGCAACTTGAGAAGGGATAATGCTTAAAATAGAAAGGTGGAGAGAATCTCTCAAATCAATTTGAGAAAGAATTTAGAATTAATAGATCTGAAGTAGGTTACATGGAATTGTAAAGAGAAATGACTTTATAGTGCATGTTAATGGTTAAAAAAAACCGTAATAGTGATCATAATATCATATATGTTATGTAAGTTACAATTGTTTGCCAAGATGGTGAGATGAGATTGTGGATGATGTTGTTCATCGAATAAAAGTAGGATGGTTAAAATAGAGTGCTTGTCTGTCCAATACCTAAAATTTACATAACTTATAAGATCAAAATGCTTTATGAATTAGAATATTGGACAATTGAAAATAACCATGAGAAAAAAATAAACTTAGCAAAATTATAGTGTTGCGACAATTTTGTGGATATATACTAAAATATAGTATAAGAAATGAATGCATCAGTAGGAAGATTAGAGGTTGCTTATATTGTGGATAAAATGCGAGAAAGATTGATTGAGATGGTTTGCCTTTTGTTGTTCTATCACAGATAAAATGCGAGAAAAATTGATTGAGATAGTTTCCCCAAGTACAACAAAGGCTAGTAAAAGCTCCAATTTGAAAAATTAATAAGATTATAGTTAATGGAGCCAGGAGGACTAGTGGTAGACCTAAAAGAACTTGGTTAAAAACAATTAAGAATGATATGTTAATAATTAACAGAGTAGATTACCCATGATAGAAGTGAATGGAAGATTAGAATTCATGTAGTTGAGCCTAAAAATTGGGATGCAACCGAGCCTAAAAATTTGGGTTGCAGGTGTTGATGTCGTTGTAGCCTGAAGTTTAGAATCAATTAGGTTAAGCCTGTATAATCTGCTACTAGTGATAATCAGATGCTGGTTAAGTTGAGACGAAAAAAAATAAGTAAAAATAAAATAAAATAAAAATTTATTAAAAAAATAAAAAAGAAAAACAACTTCAGCCAATCCCACTAGCAGCTCCATCCTGGTCCGTGTAAGATGCAGACCTTGCATAGATAAGTTATTTCCTTATCAAAGTGAGGTTTGGAAACCTCACAAGAATTAAAAAAAAAAAATCTTTGCCTTCATGCCAATCACAATGGTCATCTAGTCTTGGCATTTTTGTCGTAAATAGAATTGACAATTTTCTAGAGAAACTTGCTGCCTGTTGGGGTTACCCAAGGAAACATGAAAGGAATTTCTGCAGCTTGTGAATTAAAAAAAAAAAAGCCTTTGCCTTCATGCCAATCGCAATGGTCATCTAGTCTTGGTATTTTTGTCGTAAATAGATTTGACAATTTTCTAGAGAAACTTGCTGCCTGTTGGGGTTACCCAAGGAAACATGAAAGGAATTTCTGCAGATTCTGTTAAGCATATTGGTGGAAAAGAGAAGCCATGTTATTAGTTTTGCAGTCAAACCCATGCAACTGAGGATCGAGCCTCCAAAGTAATCATAAACTAAGGAAGCATTTAAGTTATCTGAGATAAAGAACTAAACAAAAGACATTCCCATTGACACTAACGAACACGAAAAGCTTAATATGGAAGTGAACAAAAGACATTCCCATTGACACTAAAGAATACGAAAAGCTTAATATGGAACTAAACAAGATAAAGAACTAAACAAAAGACATTCCCATTGACACTAATGAACACGAAAAGCTTAATATGGAAGTGTACTATTGGTATTTGAAAGCGCTTCTGTAAAGTTTACATGCCTATTGCAAATTAGCTCGTTTTAACTTCATTACCAAAGTTAAAGTCATATTGCAATATTGTCAAATTGAGTTCATCACGGGACTTCTTGTGTCAATAACATCTGTTTTGGCTTTTCATGTACTTTCAGTTCTAGGTTCCTAGTTGACTTGTTTCTGTATTGTATAGGAGAGGCTGGTTGGACTCCAGATCAGTATGGGCACTCAAGGTACAAACCAGCAAATGCTACAGACAGTGTTGCTTACCGACAACAACTGAATGCTTTTATGCGTGGACTTTTAAAGGTACGTTTTTTGTTTTTAATGCTGAAAGGTGTCTTTGTTATATGCTAAATGAGCTATCAACATGGGCGCGAGGAAACTTGTGATGTTGGATGCAGTTAACAGTTCGCTATACAAATCCTCATCTAGTTATACACCTTAAACTTTCCATTAAATATACAAGGATGAGCCACCTTATGTATGAATGATAAGTGTCATGACTAATTTTCAGAGTATTAGCAAAGAACCATTGACCAATTTATTTTCTCCGTAGGCAAATCTACGTATAGTAGCACTGTAATTGATATATATTGTAAACCTGGACAAGCCTTATCCCGTCTGTTTGTGGCAATTGGTAGTATACAACAGTGTTGTAAATAGCGGCCAATAGCGGCGCGAATAGCGGTCGCGGCCCTTCAGCGCTACGCGTAGGGGTTTCGCGGCTGACTTAAGCGGGAAAATCCGCTATTCATTCGAATAGCGCGTAAAAGCGGATTTTAGCGGGTTAAAAGCGGGTTTTCGCGGTTAAAAGCGGATTTTCGCGGTTAAAAGCGGATTTTTGTTGTTAAAAGCGGCTAAACCCGCTATCACACATATTATGATGCTATATTTCTTGAATTTCTTCATAGTTTCATTCATACAGCAAGCTTATTAATTGTTATTTATTGATAATACAAGAAATTTACAACTAATTGAATTTTTAGATTTTTTTTTATGAATTTTCTTATTATTTAGGATATTTAAATATATTTAAATTTGACCGCTATTTGACTGTGCGCTATTTGCCGCGATTTCGCCGCAATAGCCCGATATAGCCTTAGCGGTACCTCGCCGCGACGCGCCGCGATCCGCTATCAGCAACCTTGGTATACAAGCTATCATTTATTTATTTCTTCTGAAATGGATGTGCAATAGTTTCTCTCCAAATGAACCTTTATGGGCATGCACACCCTTTTCTGTCTGTCAGCCTGTAACATATGTAACTTTTACGGTCCAGGACAATTTTTCCCTTCATTGATTATTGACATTAATTTCACAGATATTCTGTTACTCTTTTCTCTCTCTTGTCTTTGTTATCCTCATGCTTTCCTCTGCCATAAATAACAAAGCTACATGATTTTTGCTGATTGGGGTGACTAATTCATAAAAACATATGATTAACTTGGATAGGGTTGGCCTTTTTATGAATAGTTATTTTACCAATATAAAATTTTGAGAACTTTTCTTGTGCTTTTTGTACAGATGATGAGTGAGCATCCGGATGCTTGGCCATTTAGAGAACCAGTAGATGCACGTGATGTGCCTGATTATTATGATGTCATTAAGGATCCAATGGGTAAGTTGCCAAGAACGGGTATTTTGTAGTTCAAATGCGTGAAACCACTTTCTAAATTTTCATACTTGCATACATATTTCTTAGATTTGTTTCTCCTGCTTCCACATAAGCATCAAGTTCAAGAATTATATTTTGCATTGTAAACTTAAAGAGAATGCTTGAATGAACTAGAAGGACATAACTACTGATATTTTAACTGTCTTTAGGCTAGTAATATACCGAACTAACAGACTTACAAAGAACACGACCGCGCAGTTAACATCAGATATTCGACCCCAGCCTAGTATTACTCGCATACACAATTTTATCGTGTTAAGAATAGTGGATGATCACCATAAATTAACATTGTTGTATATTATTGCAGTTTGCTTTAGTATTTTCCAATCTGTAAATAGAGTTATATACTGTAATATGAATTGTATTATACTGGAATAGTATTCCTTGAAACTGAAGGTAAAATGAGAACAATTGATGCATTGTCTTGCAGTGAGGGGTACATACGGTTCGAATACAACTCGGATATGACAATTACCACATCTGTATCGGCTTGTCAATCATGGATACAGATACAAATATGCCTCGGTGAGGAAAATTCATGTCCATATCTGCTAAAATCGGATATGGATATGGATATACATGTGGATATGTAAGTGGATATATATTCGGATACAAAACAGATATGAGAAAACTAGATAATATTGAAAAATATATATATAGTTCACTAGATAATATTGAAAAAAAATATAGTTCATATGATAAAAGAGAGTTCATTAATATGTTCGTTATATTGAAAAAACAAAGATTAGATGTCAAGATTGTCAAAATTAACCTCAAATCCATTAATTAAAGGATTAAAATTGTTACAACTATATGACCACAAAATATATTTGGATATTTTGGATACGGATCCGGATATTTCACTACAAATTCGTATCAGTAATCATATTCTATCGGATATAAATTTTAATTACCATATTTGTATCCTAAGGGATACGGATACAGGTGTTCCCTCGGATACAGATATTTTTATGTACCCCAGTCCAGAAGTTAATTTTCAGCATTAAATCTGATGCGGTTCCCAATCAATAGATGGATCCTCTATTGATTGTCTTGCATGTAATAAACAACTGTTTTGATGAATTGCATGATTCATGAGCATTCTTTGGTGAAGTCCTTAAAGTTTGACGAAAGATTATTATTATTACATATTTAATTTCGCTTCAAATCTTGTATATGCTCTGTCTTAAATGCTCCAGAACTATATGGATGAGTTTTGAGCGGAATTTATTTTGCAGATCTAAAAACCATGTCAAAAAGATTGGAATCAGAACAATATTACATCACCTTTGAAATGTTTGTTGCTGATGTCAAGAGAATGCTTGCTAATGCTCGCACCTATAATGCTCCAGAAACAATATATTATAAATGTGCTACGAGGTATATCTTCTTCGAATTCTCCATAGTTTTTTTCCCTTTGACATTATTATTTTGACTAATGGTTTGATTTCTTATTGCTCAGGCTTGAAACTTTTTTCTCGAACAGGGTCCAGTCTCACCTCCTCCAAACGACTAGCAAGAATCCATAGATTTAACTATTTTATTGAAAAATGCGTCCTTATCTATTGATAAGTTTGTAAACTTTTGCTTAGTGAACTTTGAGACCAACATAAACTCTGAAGCAGAAAATCAAGGAGAGCCAGATTCATGTCACAAGCTGACGGAGCTCTGTGGTTAAAGCTTGTAATCCTGATTCATAAATTGTTGGACATTGACAAAGCCTGCTGACATCTGATGCAGTTTACACAGATGATGCACAACTGTTGGCAACCGAAAGTTCTAAAGTCCTGTAATAGCGATTGTTCTGGTAATATGCAATTGTTAATTGATGATATCTTTCGCTGTACTTGGACTTGAGATATTGATATGTAAATTTATGATTTCTCCATGTAGTTATAGACTTGAGAAAGGAAAGATTTGCTACATGCTGTGACGAATGTTTGGGTGGATTTGCTCCAGACTTCTGTATTGAGATAAATTCTATTAGCCAATTCCGTGTGACGTAGAGCTGGGTATAGTATCTTTGTTTGTGAATTGCGATTGACATCCCTGGATAAAGATAAACTTATTTGATTCATCAGCAAGAAAATGAACACAATATTACTTTCACTGATGCCCTTCGGCTGTAGTTATCACTAATAGCATAAGAATACGTTCTTTTAAGGTAAAAATGCTTGTCTAAGCTGATGCTTTCTATTAAATGTTGTTATTTAGGGGTTGTTTAGTTCGTTCCCATTTTATTGAGAAACATCATTCCATGTGAAAAACCTATATTTTAGGTTTTACAAACTGGTTATGTTTAGTTCACACGTAAAACAAGGTGAGTATCAAACAAAAGGGAAAACAAATGGCTGATAAGATTTCCCACTTTTTTTTTGTTTGGTTGATTTTGAAGTGTGGATGGACAAATGTATATGGTCATCATGGTAAGATTACCTCTCATTAAAGACATTGTTTTGTAACAGTTGTAGATGGTAATTTTACCAAAAGAAAGCTCATAAATGCTTCTAAACAATATAACAAATTAATATAAAAATGATAAAATAAAATATGAATTTTATAAATAACCCGATTAATCATAAATACCAGTATGATATGGAAAATCATATCAAATCTGTAAATGCCTAACCTGTAGATAATTGGGATTAGGTAGTTGAGTCAAATAAAAGAAAAAAAAACAATTGGGCTTTAAAACCATGAGCGATTCAAAACTATGATCAAAACCAGCAGCAAAATTAATGATCAAAACAAATACTGTCAAATTCAACATCCAACCACCAAGCACCAACTCAATGTACCCGTCTATACTTCTATAAAAACCAATGGTTGCATACCAAATGTTAACCAAGAAGAAAGATAAGTAAGAAAGATAGAGATATTGGTGAATCTTATTCTTCACCAACATCAAATGTAATAATCTTGAAATTAAAAAAAAAATTGTAGCTATTTTTTTCTAACGTCAATTAACTTTGCTTTTTTGTTCTCAGCATGGAAGTATTACTAAACCAAAACTACCCACTTTTGATGAATGTATTTCTTATACAAATAAAGATTGAGAGTGTGATGAGATAGATGATTTAATTCATGTAATTAACATATATAATGCTAAAAGCCAATGCTTTGAAGTTAGAGATTAAAAGGGGTATTAGAAGTGTCTCTACTTCATGGATATCCACGTAAACTAGAACAAGATTGATCTCCTAACACATGCACATGAAGTTGGTCACAATAAAACTATGGCCAATAAGAGTAAGGAGGTTATTGTCGAGCATCGTAAACAAAAAATTTATTTACAATGGTTAAATAATGGGAAAATTTGTAAAATAGTCTGTTTTTGCTAATTATTTAGCAAAATAGACCGTTTTGCTAAATAATTAGCAAAAGATACCTCTTTTAAAAAAAGAGGTCGATTTTAAAAAACAAGACTCAGAAAACATACGGGGCTACTAGTCCCGTATGTTTAGAGCCAACTTAATCACAAATTAGTGACTCAGAAAACATACGGGACTAGTAGTCCCGTATGTTTTCTGAGTGCATCTCAATATTTTGTAAAATTTTCTAAGTTCACTAATCCATAATTAAAACATACGGGACTATTAGTCCTGTATGTTTTCTGAGCTGTTTTGTAAAATAGACCTCTTTTTGGCCTGTTGGCCAAAAAGATGTTTATTTTGCTAATTATTTAGCAAAACGGTCTATTTTGCTAAATAATTAGCAAAAACGGACTATTTTGCAAATTTTCCCTTAAATAAAAGCAACAAGCTAAAAAATTATGTACTATTTTGGTATTTTCTCCATGTTAAAATTTGAGTGAAGTTTATGGCTAAAAAAAAATTAGAAAAACGTGTGCTGATATCACATAAAATAAACTAGCCATATGTATATGAAATATGGCTAAGAGCTTAGAATTTTGTCAATATCATCATTGCTAGCCATTCAGTGTAATGTCAATAAGCATTTCAGGTTGCTAACCTTAGCTATTATGCCACTCGTTATAGCCCAAAAGTAAATAAGTCACCAAATAAAACCCATAATATTAAATGACAACCGAATAGCTTCACAACCCACACTAGAAGCCATCCAATATAATGTAAATACCTTGTAGGTTGCTCAAATACAAACGTTTTGGCTGTCATGTAAATAGGGGACGATATAGGGTTTCTGCAAGCACAAGTTCATGATGGAATTAGTTTTCTAAGTATTCACGTAAAGTTACGAATATAGGAAACTATTAAGCTCAAAGTGTAAACACAAATAAAAATGAAGGCATACAAAGATATTTACCTATTACAAGCATATTTATCATTATCATAATGTTTTATAAGCCCAAAATATAGCATCAACATATAGTTACAAAATCAAAAAGTTTCCCCAAAAGTAAGTAAGTCTAGTCTTTTTCCCAAAAGTAAGTGGATTTAACAAGTATGTAAGAAGTGAGAATCTCAAAATACAACGGGAATCCAAATATGTCGTTCTTCAACCCTCACTGAAAAGGAAAGAATTAATCATCTCTTTTCCACCCACTATAGATATGCCCATAAAAGTCTTGATTCATTCTCATTCACAAAAAGATGATGATAGAATACATCTAGCTTATCAACATTAAAGTTGTGTAAATGAGTATACATGACCTTGGATAACTTTTCAGTCTAATGCATATTTACACACTTCATTGATGAGCTAAATGCTTTCATCTCATCTACCATTTGTAGCATGAGCTCATTATCTTGGTTGGTTCTACGAGACTTTCCCTTGCTAGCACATGACTTTTGCCGTAGAAGTTGATGAGGTGGGTGGCTCATTAGGTGGAGGATGTTTCATGTTCTTTTGTATTGCAACTGACGCATATTGCAATAATAAAATACAGTGAAACAAAGGAAAATTTATACTTCCTGGGGTTCTTTTCTGTGTGCCGGTGGATCGTCGATCTTGTACTTTGTTGACATGCCGATTAAGACAATGGGTCTTTTGCTATTGACGAGAGTTGAATTGCTTGGAAGATAACTAAGTCTTATCTTAGCAATATTTCTCAATGGAATCGCAAGTGCGATGCGAGTGCTGATTCTTCTACCGAACTTTTTGAACCCCCTTTTAAAAATGGATGATCTCCTCTCCTTTTATAGACTAAAAGAAAGAGTTAATGACCCCTTTAATTATGGTATAAGTGGCCATTAAAGTAGAAATTAGTGCAGAGTGGTTATCCCTTGAAAATAGCTCTGAAACAACTACTTGGGCAAACTTTGCAGACTTGGCGAGGTTCGCTGAAGATGTGGACGAAATTTGCTACGGATGTGGACGCGCCTTCTTCAGAAGTGGATGACTTGGTCCACTTGACGTGTGCGAAGTTCATTGGTTGGCGAGCTTCGCCTATGAGTTTAAATTTGATGCATAATTCGACTCTAGGCTTGGCTGACCAATGACGCCTTTTGACTCGGCCTGGGGCGTGTCATGGGAGTCGACTCGTGATATGACTTGGTTGGGTCGAGTCGACATGGGCTACTTGGTGACGTTCGCTTTAGTCATCAGGTGACTTTCCCAACAGCTTGTTGTGGGCTTGACTTTAGAACCATTCAAAGTGTTTAGCCCATGAGCGTTCACTTCTTGGATCCAAGTCGATCATCATCATAAGTGAAAATACATTTTAACTGTCTACAAGACCCCCAAAATTTGTTGAAGATCCTTCATTTCATTTGTAGCTAGGATTAAAATACTTTAAATAAATATCCATAGGTGTAGTGTTGAACGTGGCTTGAGTTGTCTTGATTAGGTGAAAACTTGTCTTCATCCACCCACTTGGTCGCCAAAGGTGTAATGTTGAACGTAGCTTTCTTTGTTGCAGACTTCTATAGAAGGATTGATGGTACTTTTACTCATCCAAATCCATACTTGTAACAAAATTTTCCTTTTCTGTTGTTGAGCTATGTTGAGAAATCAGCAAAGTTTGACTGTTTCTAGGTATGAGTGAAGGTTGCTCAATTTTGGACTGCTAGGTGAAGTTCGTCAATTAGCGATGTTCGCTAGCTGACAAGGCTCAATTTTTTTTGAGTTGTGTTGTCAAAGTTCATCGTCTAGTGACGTTCACTGGCTGGCGAAGTTTGTTAAGGTTCGCCTCTGGATTTGTGTTGTGATTTGTGACTGAGATCATTTAACTAAAGATCCCGCAAGATCCGCTGTGGATTTGACCGAGTTTTAGGCTAAGATTTAGCTTCTTTGTCTGGTCCAATTAAATCTCAAAAGATGTGATTTTCTTGGGAGTTGGGATTTGAAATGGGCTATAAATAGTAGCCATCCACATTCATTTTTACCACCTCTGTCTTCTTCTTCTTCTTCTTCTTCTCCATGTCTCCTCCATCGTTGTATAGATCGGAGATGCTCCTCAATGAGGTGCTAAAATCAAAAGACTTCATTAGGAGTTAGCCCAAATAAAGAGCAATCAAGTGGATGAACTTCACATACTCCGTCGTCTGACAGAGTTGCTGTCGGTGAGAAAGAGATGCTTGAGGGAATTATCAAGAATTAGTCGATGGCTTGGGATGAGCTGGATGACGATAGAGATGCATGAAGCTTCGAGTGCCTAGTTCTACATAAGACTGTTCGGCGACTGAAATAACGCTTGAAGAAGGATCCTTGAATCTCCACGAGCAGGGACTCCGATAGTAACTAGGTATCACAAACGTGAACCTAGATCGTAATTAGACGTCATATGGCTGACTCAGGCCTGACGTCAAATTTTGGCTGCAGGAATTGATTCTTCCCCTTGAAATGCCTCAGTCCCGTGCAAGGAGTGACTTCTTGTTCAACAACTCTCTTCTCATCTCCTGGCATAGGGCCTATGGAAGAGTAAGTAGGAGTTGTTTTTTCTGGAGTGGAAAATTTCTTATTTTCCCAGTCTTGTGAGATCGAAGGAGTTCAGGCTATAGCTTGGTGCAGCCCGTGTATGCTCCTCTACCATCACATTATCTATATTTTAGAAATATAGGACAATAGCAAATAGCAACAAT